GACGACATTTGCACGGGCGCCTCCACCGTTGAGGAGGCTCTTGTATTACGAGACGAATTGATTGCCATTCTGAAGTCCGGAGGTTATGAGTTGCGAAAATGGTTGTCGAACTCCCCTCATATTTTGAAGATTCTCCCAGGAGAGGATCAACTAGACCCTCATCTATTCGAGCACCCTGAAAATCCTTATTTGTTGACGGTGCTGGGCATTCAATATCAGCCTGTGCAGGATACCTTCACGTATCGAGTCAAACTCGACCCTAAAGCATGGACCAAGCGCTCCGTGCTGTCTACAGTAGCCCGCACCTTCGATCTTAATGGATGGATCACTCCGGTCATATTTTTGGCTAAGTGCTTTCTTCAAAAGCTCTGGATATCCGGGTTGGGTTGGGACGAGCCTATTAGCGGAACTCTCTTGCGAGAGTGACTCTCCATTGTCTCCTCCCTTCCGGAAATCAACAAGGTCTCCATGCCAAAGTGCTTCCTCCCTCCAGGGAAATGCAGGGCTACTCTACATGTGTTTTGCGACGCCTCTGTAAAAGGCTATGCTGCTGTCGTATATTTGCGGACTGTGAGCTCTTCTGGTCATACTGCAGTCCATCTCGTACTTTCTAAAAGCAAGGTTGCTCTCATTAGGTCCCGCATAACTATCCCTAAATTGGAACTGTCCGGAGCCGCTCTTCTCACGCGACTCCTCAACCACGTTCACTCGTCTTTGAAGTCTGTAATCGACACTACGGACGTCTACGCTTGTTCGGACCGTAAATAGTACTTTGTTGGCTCAGAGCTGCATTTCACAATCTTGAGGTGTTTGTGGCGAACCGAGTGTCTCAAATCCAGAGTTCTGAGACTTCTCTAAACTAGAGACATGTCCCAGGCGAGCTGAATCCCGCAGACTGCACTTCTCGCGGCTGTGAAGACCCCTCGTTGGTTCACCACCCGCTGTGGTGGGGTCCCAGTTGGTTGACTGAGTCTCAGTCATTCTGGCCCCAGGGTAAATACTCCGAACCGATGGAATTGCCTGGCCTACGAGCCCGGGTAGCAGTTGGCAAGGATAAGCCCACTCGGGATCTCTCCCTTTTAGAACGGTACAGCTCTCTCGATAAGCTCTTAGGAGTGACTGCTTGGTTGCGCCGATTTGTCCGCAATTCGAAAGACCTATCCAACCGAATCTCTGACTCCGTTTTGTCTCCTAGCGAGCGTCGTGAAGCTTTGATGCATTGGACCCGTATGGTCCAAGCGGAACATTTTGAGTCCGTGATTGAAAACTTGAGGCGGGGTTCCGGTGTCAAGGGCGCTCTGGCCCGTCTGAGCCTCTACCTGGGTGACGCTGGGATGCTGCGCGTTGGCGGACGTTTGAAAAATTCTCAACTGCCGTACGGGGCTAGACACCCGTTACTGCTCCCCAAGGACGGCGCCTTTGTCCGGTTGCTGGTAACCCACCATCATTTTAAGTATGCCCAAGCTGGGTGTAACGCTCTTTCGGCTATTTTGCAGCGGGAGTTTGGGATTTTGGCTGGCCGACGTACCATTAGGAGCGTCATCTTTAGGTGCATACCATGTTATAAACTGAAGGCCACCATATCGCAGCCTATGATGTGTAACTTACCACCCGAGCGCGTCAGGGCCATCCGACCATTCGCTGGAGTCGGAACAGACTTTGCTGGCCCCTTTCTCGTCAAGTCCTCTAACCTTCGCAACGCGCGTTCACATAAGGCCTATCTTTGCGTTTTCGTGTGCCTCTCCACTAATGCCGTTCACTTAGAACTGGTAAGTGCCCTCAGCACTGAAGCCTTTGTGGCCACGCTGGGCTGCTTAGTATCGCGTCGCGGTCAGCCGGACCTGATCCATTCTGATTGCGGAACGAATTATAAGGGCACGGATAGATATTTGAAGGAGGTCGTCGAATTTCTGTCCAACAACAGGACGTATTTAGGTACGGCTATGTCTAAGAAGGGCATCCAGTGGAAATTCGACTCTCCGGCGTGTCCCTAATGGGGCTGTATTTTTGAGGCGGTGGTTAAGGTTGCAAAAACGCATCTCCGTCGCGTTATTGGGAAAACCATTTTGACATTTGAGGAGCTCGCCACTGTATTCTGTAAAATTATGGCGGTTCTCAACTCTCGGCCCCTCTGTCCCCTCTCATCCGATCCAAATAATTTGGAGGTTCTAACCCCGGGACACTTCCTGATTGGCCAGCCGCTTAACGCCCTACCCGAGTACCCCTTCGGGGAAGTAAACTCTTCGCGGCTTAGCAGATTTGACCTGCTGCAACAGATGACTCTGAGTTTTTGGCACCAATGGTCTCTGAAGTACCTACATCTTTTGCAGCAGCGCATTAAGTGGTCTAACAAGACGGATCCTCCTCGGGTTGGAGACCTCGTGTTAGTTAAAGAACCTAACGCTTTGCCTTTGAATTGGCGCCGTGGGCGCATTGTTAAGTTGTCATATGGATCGAATGTGGTGACTAGGGTGGCCGAGGTTTTGGTTGGAGATTCGGTCTTGCAACATGGCGTCGCGACCCTATCCCGTTTGCCAATTTACTCGCGGACATAAGTCCTTATGCCCGGGACGGGGGTTTGTTTGCGCCAAACGCTAAAATTTAAAATTACTATAACGAAGGCGCGTTAGCGCGCTTCTTCGATGTACTTAGCACCGGCGGGCACGCGGCCCGCGGGCGCCTCCCCGCACGCGCTGAGTGCGTGGGAGATCGGGTATTTTTTTGTCGTCAAGCGGTGGCCGGGCATTGCTTGCTGTGAGTTGAGTCGAAACGCGCGGTTGCCTCCGATAGTATCGATTTTTGTTAACGGATTTGTGCAGCGACGAGTAATTGTTTAGTCTAGAACATTTGACGCCTGGTTGGCTAATTGTTGAGGTAATGTTTAATTGTACCGTTGCGTTAGGTGCCTTAAAAGTTCGCGTTCGGTTTTCGAAATAATTTGTTGCGGAGTGATCGTAAGTGAACGTTGACCCATCGGTCATCCGTCGTGCCGCGTGTTACTTTTTTTGATAATAATTAACGTGATTTAGTTGCGTTTTGAAGTTAGTTAAATGTACGATAAAGTTGATAGACTGACATAGTGAATTGAAGAATGAAATAGTCATTTGCTGCCGCCGCTGGAGAATACCACGCCGGAGGGCGGTGCCGGAGTCAGGGCGCTGCTGATTAAAAGGGCTAATTCAGGTTACACATATATACACTTATCACACACTACTTACATTCACGACAATTAACACCTGAAAGAGCCCTGTGAGCCTTCTTCGCCTCTGAACAGGTAAGTACTATTTATTTACCTAGCCTTCTCCCTATTGTGTAGTATGATAGGACATTTTCCATAAGGCCATTTGGGCCCCGTCCTTAGTTATCCGTCGAGTCTACAGCTGGATGGGCCCCTGTATAGTCGAACTTTGTCGGGACAGCTAAGGGCGTGTACACTTACTAAGATACATTTTACTTAATTCACTATAAATAGTAACTTTTCTTTTCAATATTACAAACTTGTTTTCGCAAAATCCCTTTTATTATTATTTTCCTGTGCCATCAATTATTCTTTTTTTTTTGTTTTCTTTTTTGTTATATTCCCTTTTTATTTTCTCTTTTTTTGTTGGATGTGTAATTATGGTATATTTTTCTTTATTTATACATTTTTACTCTTATCACAACTTTACTTTAAGCTACTGTTTGCGTTAAATTCTGTTACAAACATCCTTTTTTACAGTTACTTACAGTTATACCTATTTGTATACATATAATAATTACTATATAAACTTGTGGTTATATTATTATTTTCCTTTTTTGTTATTCACGGTTAATACCTTATTATTTTTTTTAATATACTAATTATTACATAAACTAACTATTATATTATCATACTTACTTTATACAATTTTAATGCAATTGTCCATTGCTTTAATTTTATATACTTTTAACTTATAAAACTATGCTATTTTGGACCCATTTGCTTTTCCTGCAGTACGAACGACTATTTCTGCATATTTTAGGAAATGGGTCCGACAGTCATCGTTGTTGATAACGTATTTTAGGGTAGTATCATTAATTGCAATTCCCATCTTCTGCTCGCATTCCAATCTTTTCATAGCGAATCTCGGGCAATCTAATAACAGGTGTAAAATTGTTTCGTCTATTTCACTACTGCATGCATAAGATGGGGACTGCGTTAATTTGTACTTGAATAAATACGCCTTAAAACCTCCATGACCCGTTAACAATTGCGTCTTAACGTTACCTTGTTTATTTTTAAGTGTACTGTGTGCTTGTCTTATGTCCGGAAAGAATATCTTCGTGACTGCTCCTATTGTAGTTTCATTGTATCGTTGTTGCCACCTCATGCAAGTAGAGTCCCTGGTGAGTTGCTTCGCGAAGGACATAGTGCACTTATCATAAGCTGCGGCTTGTTTATATGATACACGGTACCTTTTAGCGGAATGGCGTAAACAGAATGGGCTTATTGGTTTCTCTATGGTTCTTTCTGGTAGTTGTGTTAGTGGCTTTCTTCGCTTGATTTCATATAGTGAAAGATGTTCCAATGCTCTTAAGTCAAGAGGGATGATTCCTGATAGTAACACGCTAGACGTGAATGAGATTGTCCTGTGGCCTTTGCAGATCTTAATTGCAAACATTCTTGTTATACGTTCTAATCTTTTCCTCGTGTATTCTTTTTTCGCTACCGTGGCCCATACACTTGCCGCATAAAGAATAGTTGGCGTTACTACAGCTACATTTATCGTTTTGAATATCTCTGAGTTAAGACCTCAGTTGGCTCTTGCTGTTCTCGATATGGTTTTATAGATGTTTAGTGCTATTCTGAGAACTTCATCTAAGTGTTCTACGAAATTTAGATTTGTGTCAAAAGTAACACCAGGTACTTTCAGACTTGAAGATGGTTTAATAATGATTGTAGGAATTTCAAACGATAGCTTTTTTGTGATCACTATTGCTTGAGTTTTATGTGGTCCAAAGTTCAATTTTTATTTTTTCCCCTATGCCACTATTCGCTCTAAAGCCGGGTTTAGTTTCTCTTCTACTGCATTAACTGAATGTCCTTTTGCAATAACAAGTATGTCATCCGCATACACCTGTATACGGACATATAGTTTTGAAATTTATTCGAGAAGGGGATCTAAAAGAATATTTCATAGGATAGGTCCATAGGTAGACCCCTGTATACAGCCTTTGGTGGCTTATTTTGTGATTTCTGCTCCTGCATACTTTAGTAAAATTCATCTAGATGACAGATAACTAGTGACTAACCTGAAAATCTATGGACTAACCCTTTTCTTTTTCATTTCTGTGATTATTTGGGGACACCAAGCATTATCAAATGCCCCTTCTATGTCGAGAGATACTACTACAACGATAATTTTTTCTTTGTTGCCCTGTCTTATCACCGTCATTGTATCATATAAAGCGTCTTCTGTGCTGCGCTGTGGCATGAATCCGTATTGCAAACTGTTGAGTTCATCTTCACTTCCTAACTGCCATAGAAGTATCCCTACAAATAATTTTTCTAAAATCTTTCCAAATACCGGTAGTAGTCCAATAGGTCGATATGATTTAGGTACTGAATAATCATCTTTCCCAGGCTTTGGAATGACTTTTATTACAGCCCTTTTTCAGGTCTCGGGGAAGTGCCCTAATACTAGATACTTGTTGAAAATTGCCTTCAGCGTTGACGGTGAAGTTTTGTAAGCCTCAAAGCAGATGTCTGCTGTTATATCGTCTTCTCCTGGTGCCTTTTTGGGGTTCGTTCTTTGTAGTATCATTTCTATTTTTTCTTCGGTGAATTTACGAAAACTAATAGAGTCATATCTTAGATCTTTAATGATTGCATTCGATTCATCACGAACTTTTCCTTGTTCTTCGGTGCCCTTATTTACTTCATCTTCAGGGTAGAATACTTTAGCTAGTAATATAGCTGAATCATCCGGATTTAGAGATTTTTCTTCTAAACGCAAAAGTTTGTCTTTGCTTTTTGTTGTGTATTTCCTAATAATTCTGTAAATTATATGCCATATTGTCTCTTTTTCCTGCTTTGTACATAGCTCCTTCCAGCTCGCAGTAATTGTTGACATTATGTTACTTACAAATGTTTCTTCAGCTGCTGTAAATTCTTGAATAAGGAACGGTTTACGCCTAGCATTCGCAAATCTTATTATTTTTCTTAATCTAATAAATTCTCGTCTTCTGGTCGTTCAGCTCCTAACTCCTTAGTCCATCAGGGTGTGCAGGTGATGTTATTATTTTTAGAAATAGGTGGTATTGCCCTATTACTAGCAATGCTGATTTGTTTAATGTATTTGTCTAAAATGTCTTCCAAATCATTTGCTGTTTTTATCCGATTAACATTTGTTTCTGTAATTTTGTCATTTTCTAACCCTTCTTTTAAAACATTCCTCTAAATTGACCAATTTGCCTTAGCGGTGTTAAATAGACGTGTATACTTTCTGGGGGAAGTTTTTTGTTTATCTATGATAATTTTTATTTAAAATTGAATTGCTTAAATTTTAGAAAGTGTACACACACTCTCAATCTTAACAACGTTAACAACTTTGTAATGATTGAGAGTGTGTCGACGAGGATTGCGTACCTTATACTCAGAATCACCAAACGGTATTTGATGATGGTTATACAGGTTTACGCACCAACCTCGGCACACCCCGATGAGGAGGTGGAGGCAATGTATGAGGTTATCACTAGAGCCATGCATTCCTCCAAAATCCACTAAACGGTGTTAATGGGAGACTTCAATGCAAAACTAAGCACAAGAGAAAACGGTGAGCTGAAAGAAGGGAAATATGGAATAGGGCAGCGGAAACCAAGGGGCCAGCAGCTGGCCGACTTCATGGAGAAAGAGGGACTTTTTATGATGAACTCTTTGTTCCAGAAGCGGCCCCACAGGAAGTGGACCTGGTCGAGCCCCGACGGTTCGACAAAAAAAGGAGATTGACTTCATTATGACGACCAGACGACAACTGTTCAGTGATATCTCCGTGATCACGAGGGTGAAACTGGTAGCGACCACCGAATGGTCAGAGGCTTACTGACCCTAAACGTTAAGTTGGAGAGGTCTCGTCTAATGAAGCTCATGTTACAAAACCGTTTTCAGTGCCTAGAAGACTGCAATGAAGTGGACGATATGAATGACAAGCTCGTCGAAACTGTCCATGCTGTCGGAGCTAAGTTCTGCAAGACCTGACACAGAAGAACACAAAATCTCTCCGATCACATTCTTAATCTCATGGCTGTTAAACGGGACATAAAGCTACATTCTGGAACAGATTTGACAGCATACAGGCAACTGAACAGGCAGATCTCCAAATGTATGCGGCGGGCCTTACGTAACTTCAATACAGTTTGTATTGAAAAAGCGATCGAGTGGAACCAAGGTTCCAAAGTCTTTGCCAGAGATCTGTCTGCCAGAAAGAGCCAACTGTCAAAGCTAAAGACCGAATGTGGCAGCATTGTTTCCGGGACACCTGAGATTTTGAGTGAGATTGAGAGGTTGTATGGGCAGCTGTACACGTCATCGTAGGAGCCGCACGCAAGTGTGGGTAACGATCCAAGAACGAGTCTAATCCGACACTATTCCGAAGATATCCCGGACGTCAGTTTGAGCGCGATTAGAATGGCTTTCCAGCACCTTAAAAACGGAAAGTCTCCGGGCGAGGTTTTTTTTTTAGAAGAGGGGGCAAACGAGCATGCGGCTCACCTGATGGTAAGTGACTACCGCCGCCCATGAACAACTGCAACACCAGGGAGGGAATTGTAGATGCGTTGCCGGCCTTTTAAAAAGGAGTACGCTCTTTTCTTGAAGGTCCCTAAGTCGTTTCGGTCCGGAAAAATCGCTGATGGTAATCGATTCCACAAGGAAGTCGTGCGAGGAAGAAAACGTCTTCTTAATCGCACGGTGGTGGACCGCCAATCATCCAGATGGTGTGGATGGTATCGGGAGTTCTGCCTCGATGTGGGTTCGTGAAATTTTGCAGCTGGGATTAATCCGAACAATTCCTCAGAGCACTCCCTATAGTAGATGCGAAAGAAAATGCAAAGGGATGCAACATCTCTTCGCAGTGCCAATGAATCGAGCCAAGCGGAAAGGACTCGGTCGTCGACGATTCGAGCCGCTCTGCGCTGGATGCGGAAAAGTGGAAGGAGCTGGCACTGGGGAGCCCCTGCCCAGAGATGGGAACAGTATTCCATGTGAGGCCGAACCTGCGCATTGTAAAGTTTCAAGCTGTGTGCGGTACTGTTTTTTTTTTTTTTTATAGGAGAGGGGGCAAACGAGCATGCGGCTCACCTGATGGTAAGTGACTACCGCCGCCCATGAACAACTGCAACACCAGGGGAATCGCAGATGCGTTGCCGGCCTTTTTTTACCTTTTTTTGTCCCGCTCTGCTGAGCACGCCAAGCTTTTTAGAGGCCAATTTGGCCTTCTCTTCCAAGTTACCACGAAACTGCACGTCACTCGATATGTCGACTCCGATGATACCGATACTGGCTGCGGCAAGAAGGGGAGTGCCTTGAAACTGAGGAGATACGACAAAGGGGTTCTTTTAGCGGTAAACGCGCAAACTTGTGTCTTCTGAGGATTAAACTGGACTAGATTTAGTCGCCCCTAATCTGAGACTTTGTTCAATAAAGACTTGACTTCAGACACAAGTTTGTTCCGGTACTCGGCGACGTTTTGCGAAAAGAAATATTGGCACGGCCGGTGTATAGAGCATCACCAGTGCTGTCATCCGCATAGCAATGAATGTTACCAGTTAGCAACATATCATTGATATGCAGAAGAAACAGGGTTGGTGATAGCACACAGCCTTGTGGAAAACCAGCGTTTATAGGCTTGTAGCCATAACATGCACCGTCTACAACGACCTTGATGCTCCGATCAGCAAGGAAGCTGGTGATCCAATTGCACAATTTCTCGGGAAGCCCATAGGAAGGGAGCTTCGAAAGAAGTGCTTTGTGCCAAACCCGATCGAATGCCTTCGCAATGTCCAGACTAACAGCCAACGCCTCCCCCTTGGACTCTACTGCCTCCGCCCATCTATGGGTCAGGTAGACCAGAAGATCTCCAGCTGATCGACTCCGACGAAAACCGTATTGGCGGTCACTAATCAGCTGGTGATCCTCAAGGTACCGGATGAGCTGGCAGTTAATAATGGATTTCATTATTTTGGAGAACAAGGAGGTGATCGCGATAGGCCTATAGTTGGACGGGTCTGAGCGGTCGCCTTTTTTAGGGTTCGGGTGGACAAAAGCTGTCTTCCATGAGTTCGGGACTATGCCTTGGGAGTAGGAGTACCGGAAAAGACGCGTTAGGACCGGTGCCAACTCCGGAGCACACGTCCTCAGCACAATTGGGGGGATTCCGTCAGACCAACTCGACTTCTGGATGTCCAGGGAGAGAAGTGCTTTGCGAACCGAGCGCGGTGAGAACAGCACATCCGGCATGGAGCACTCACACCGCGGGATGGTCGGCGGTGTTTTCCCCCGTCATCAAGAGTCGAGTTGGACGCAAAAAGGGAGCCTAAAAGGTCAGCTTTGTCTTTTGCGTCTTGGGCCAGTGAGTCGTCCTCCCTGTGCAGAGATGGTAGTGATGGCTTACAGAAATTCCCTTGGACAGCTTTCCCGAAGAAAGGCGAACTAGTTTCTCGCCAATTCTGCCTAAGTGCTCTGACTTTGCCTTGGCAATAACTCTTTTGGAAGACCTGGAGGCGAAGTTATACTTCTTTTTAATTGTGCTGGTGTTTACATCCCGAGTCACTGAAGCCGCTGCTCAGGCTTGATAACACTCCTGCTTATTGCGCACTGCAGTCTTACAGGAGCGACCAAACCAAGGCTGAGATCTGCCTCCGATGGGTACCACAGATGATGGAATAAATAGTTCCATTCCCTGTAGCACCACATCAGTGACAGTGTCAGCAATAGCGCTGGGATCATCCGGCGAGAAGCAAACCCGCCTCCATGGGTAGGATGCAATGAAAGACCGCATTCCGTCCCAATCCGCCGACCTGTAATGCTAAACACGGCGGCAACCTGCAGAACGCAACCGCGAGGGGAGCGTGAGTGGCACCACACTCCGGATCAAACAATTGTCCGAAGAGCCGAGAGAGGCATCGACGGAAACCTGATATCCGTCCGGATGAGAGGTCAGCAGAAGGTCCAACAGGGAAGGTGTATGATCCTCGACATCTGGAATCCGCGTAGGCGAAGTAACATATGTCAGACCATATGCCAAGGCAAAGTCATAAACAGATCTCCACGCATGATCGGTTAAACGTGAACCGAGCCATTCGGCATGGTGGGCGTTAAAATCGCCAAGGATCACGATCTCTGCGGATGGGACCTGTTGTAGCAAGGAATCTGTAGCCATTTGGACGTGGTCGATGAGTCGGTCTGTTTCAGCATTACCGCTATGGGACCTATAGA